CGGGAGACCTTTATATTTAGAAAAAGGTCAACTTTATATTTGCATGTGAAAATGCAAATTGTTTATTTGATTAAGCGAATGCAGCACTTTTCACCTAGTGCCGTTTTACATTAGCTTGGAGTTACCTGACTATTGTCAAATTACCGGATTAGACTCGCCTTTTCACCCTCTGTCACTTGTCTTTTTAATAATACGGTCCTGAGATGTTTTGTCAAATATTTTTGGATAAACTTTAGCCGGTGGCCCACTCAGAAACCCCTCGATATGTATACCATTCGATTCGTCTCGGCGAGCTCGAGCTGAGTCGAATGACACCAAAATCAACAAAATCCGACTTGAATGGACCGAGATATAGACCCCTAAAATTCGAAGGTCAAAATGGACAATTTTTGGAATTAAAAATTTTTTACTCATATAATAGCTCTTTCGAAAGAGCTCGACGAGCTGAGTCGAATGACACCAATATCACAGTGATTGAATAAATTTAGACAAAGTTACAACACAAAATACAAGCAACATAAACCTATGGGGCGACGGCGAGGCGCTTGTGCAAAACCCCGCGCTTCGCGCGGGGTTTTGCGGCACGCGCCTCGCGGAGAGTCTACGGGCGCTGGGTCTGGGCTCGTAACATAAACTTATACCTATTTTAGCTGCGGTCGGCATGTCTGGCTTCCTCCTCAGCAAGAAAAACCTGCACGTAGACCAAAGGTAAGGAGCTAAAACAAATGCTCATAACTTTGTCAAATCAAGACAGATTTTGTTGATTTTGGTGTCTTCGACTCAGCTCGACGAGCTCTTTCAAATGAGCTATTATTTGCATATTCGAATTTTTCACCCCAAAAATGTGCTTGGCCCCCATATGGTTTTTCGGTTTTTAAGGACCTATATCTCGGCTCGCAGGAATTTCCGCAAAAAAAGAGTGGTACCATTCGACTCAGCTCGCTGAGACGAATCGAATGGTATATAATTTGACCCGTTTCTGAGTGGGCCACCGGCTAAAGTACAGCCATACATATTTTTCCTACAGTCTCCGTATACTTCAAATATTTACCGGTTGAGAAACAACAAACATACAAATCCCAACAATATCAACAAAACAAGTTTGTAAAAGTATTTTGCTATAAACTTGCATTTCTTTCATTGTATAACGTAAAATTAGCCAAATTAAAAACAAATTAGAAAACAATCCAAATGTAGCAAAACAATAAATTATTGTTGAATATATTTCTCCTATTAACATTTTTCCTCTTAAATAAAGAAGAGAATGTTTTTGTAATTATTATTTATTTATTCGTGTTTTGTTTGTAAAACAATTTATTGTTTAATAAACATGTTTGTGTTCAAAACATGTTTAATCTTTTCAGAAAAACATTTGTTTCTCTATATGTTTATAAGTATAAAACAAGTTTTGCTGTTTAAAGTTTTGTTTACAATCACAACACGTAATGTTTTTCTCATCAAAACTTGTTTATCGAACAGTTCGATGTTTTTACAAAGCTTATTATATTAAAACAACGTAAAACAACAGTCGCCGAGAAGTACTACATATAATTTAAATTGTGTAAAGCATTAGCTAAAGCCCGTTAAGAAATTATAACACCCCTTTGGGTTCTCATACTAGAAATGTTTGAAAAATTCTACAAAAATAAAAATTTCGAATCATGTGGGCGCAGGAAGTATAAGTAACAACAAAAATATAGGGGGTGTTATAATTTCTTAACGGACTTTATTTACCGTATTTACTCGATTAATTCTCCCGAGGAATTATTTTTTCAACCCATGCGTGACATGGTGACAATTAATAGGGGGTGGGGAATTATTCGAAGGTGGGGAATTAATCGAGTAAATACGGTAATTCCTAAGGCTGTGCAGTAGGCGGCGTAGTGTAATGGCTAACACATCACTCCGGTCTACTGAAGATGCTGGTTCGCTCCCAGCCGCCGATTAACCTTTTGCACTAGCTAAAGGAAATAATAGCTATAACCCAGCTGCTTACTATTGAAATATTTTTAAAAATGTTTTAATGAAATTAAACAAAAATAATTTTCTAATTGAAATGAAAGGAACTTTCAAAAATTAACTTTTTATAATTAACAGATGTTTTAAAAATTCAAGAAATTAATTCAAAAAATGCTTAAAGAATTCATTTATTTAAGCTTATAAAAGTATGTTTATACTTTCTACATAATTATTGTTTACATTTTCTAAAAAACTTTTTTCTTAAATAATTGCCAGATGTAATATTTTTTTAATAAAAAAAATATTTTTTAGAAAGATATTTAAATGCCACTTATAATTAATTATTCAATAAAGTTAAGGTTAAGTGCAGCCAATAAGATTTGCTCAACTATCTTTTTAGACTTGATATGATCCAAGTAATTTTAATATCAGTCGAAGGCCCTCGATAAGGGGAATTTTTCCAGTAGGATTCATTAAATGTCACAGTGATGTTAAAAATTTTACAAAAAAAAATATTAAATTAAACTAGAAAATGTATTAAAAGATTTTGAAATTATTCAAAAGAATTCAAAAAATTCAAAGCTTATTGCTGTGTCCGCACTTGCAGAAAGACCATGAATGAAAATAAATAACCTTTCATCTGGTTGGATGGTGGCACAGTCGGTTGTGCTTCGGTCTGGGTTCTTTCCGTGATGGTTCAATTCAATCTCCCATCCAAACAATTTTTCCACAGCATAAACAACGTATATAATACTTACCTCCTCAAATAAAAACTCGCTTAAAACCTCAGTTGAACACTAGATTTAACCCTAAACTTTTAATTTTTGGTTATAAACTCTCAAATTTATCTTTTTCCTTTGTCTTAGTAAGTCTTAGAGTTTTTCCGGTCTGAACATAAAAAAGGATTGTCTTCAACTTTTTTTCATACTTTTCTTAATATAAAAGCATGTTTACCTGTTTTTCATTATTAAATTTTCCACATTTTCTTCACTTTTTATTATCATGCCTTTAAACTTTTTTTACCTTTTCCCCCTATTTTTAGGCTTTCAATTAAATTTTTTATAAAAAAATTTAAAATGTCTTCTTGCTTACAATTTCCATTATTATCTGCTCTATTTATTATAACTACATGGTTTTGTGTTATTACTTTATTTGCTACGGTTGTTGCTACATTAATACTTCTTTGTTTTGCATTAAAGGTGTTTTATATTTAACGTAAAGTTGGGTTGTGGTGTAGTAGGAAAATTCTCTGTTTCCCCCACAAAGACGTTGGTGGGTTCCACATCGATTGACAATATTTTAAATTTTGCTCAAAAATTATTTTTACTCATTTTTCAATAATTTCAGGCTCGCGGAATTGCCAAAGGAATCGAACAAAAATCTGGTTCAGCTAGAGATGTTTTAAAGCAGTTTGAATTTCCTAATTGGGTTTTTGAAGAAATGTCTAGAACTGTTGGATTTAATTTGGCTTTGGCAAAACAGGTAGTCTAAGCTTAATTTAATGATTGGAGTAAGTGATCCCTTTTTAAACTTGGAAAATGAGGATTTGAAAAATAAAAGAGGGGAAGGGTGAAAAGAAACTTAGAATCATTGAAAAATAGATAACCTTCAAGTCTAGAAAACAATAATTTCCCCTATTATTTTTTTAGAATCAAACTGCAACAAGGACCAATGTCAAAGGTACACGTAAATGAAGTACTTCAAAATCAGAAGGGAATAGAATAATTTATAGGGTTATATGAAAAAATATTTTCTTATTTTTTTGTACAAATATGTAGGAATAAAAAATATTTTAATTGAATTTTTTATTCGATTTTGGGGGAGTTTGGATGATTAACCATAAATTATTGTTCTCCAATTTATTAAGCGGAATAATCTACTAGAAAATCGTAACCTATACATAATTGTAGTCTTGACAAAATAGCCCGCAAAACCCACGGTTTGCTCCCATATTTTTTAGCATGAAAAAGTATTCGATTTTTTCAAACTAAAAAATAATTTGGCAAAAATTCTGGAGTAAAGTTAGCTCAAGAAAAAAAATGTCTGGACCTTGATTGACGATACTTTCTTAATTTAATAATGGGATTCAACAAAAAACATTTAAAAGAAATTAAGCCAAAAATTGAGGGATAAAGGTTAATTCGAAAACAATGACTGGACTTCAACTGACAATCCAAACTGAGGGAGGAATATAAGATCAGGATTCAGCACGACTTCAATAACCTACAGATAGAAACCTAAACAATTTTTAAAAACTTGAAAATCCCAAATTTAGAATAGAAAACAAATTCTGCTTTAGAAGACAATTCTTTATTTAACTTTTAAATGTTAACAATATTATAATATTCAAAAAAATAACAAATTTGGAAAATATGAAGAAATACAGGAAAAATAATAAAACTTTAGAGACAATTTAGGAAGCTAAAATTTTTAATTTATTGAATTCAAAGACAATTTTAAAATTATTTTTGTTCTAAAATTTAATTATTTCTTCTACTTGTGAATTTTGGGAATAATTTTTAACACATTTTTCGTTTGAAAGAATAATTGAGGTATCGTTACAATTTATTGAGGATTTTGAATATAATTTTTCTAATTTATTCATTTTTGATAAAAATGTATTATCAGTTCCATCTTCAAGTAAAAATCTCATTTCTTTGCTAAGTGAAAGTGCTGGGTTTAAAAATTTCTGAAAATTTAAAATTCTGATTTTCTGAAATTATCTGGTTGATTTTTTAGGATCATTCTGCTTTATAATTTTAATTTTCCGAAATTATTCAGGTTCAAAATTCTGATTTTTAAAAATACCCTTAAAATTGTTGGTACTTTTTAGATATACTGCCCCTCCTAGTTTCAGTATCAGTTATTCTCTTTTTATTCATTTTTGTTTATAAATATTTGGTCAAGCAATATAACATTTTTACGACTGCATTTTCACCTATATTGCCCAAGGATAACAAATGATTCGCATGAAGAGGGAAAAAATAATTGAGACACAAACTAGGTAGAGGACGGTATATCCAAAGAGTACCAAATTATTTTTACATTTTTAAACACACCTTCCTTCCCTTACAATATAATTCAATAGAAGCTTCTTTAATAATATCAAATTTGAACAATTCTTCCAAAACAATTAAAGCAACAGACAATTCGGCATCATTTGAAGTTCTTGATTCTGCCTTAAAAATTATTTTATTTAGAAAAAAATTATATTTTAATTAAACAAACACAATATTTCTTTGAGCGTATTTTAGCAATAGGAATGGTAATTTCCAAAACTGCCTCGTATAATACATTTTTTATACAATTTGGATACTTAAATTAATAAATTTAATTTTTAAATTTTTTTTAATTTTCTCTCAAATTTAACTAAAAATTACCGTAATTTTTTCACTAACATTACTTGAATTAACAATTAATAATCTTCTTTTAACAAATAAAGTTAAGGCATAGATTGCATTTTGTTTATCATATCCACTAAGAAAGTTTTTGCTCATTTTTCTGAGTATATTAATTTCATGATTTTTAGTCTAAAAATTAATTTTTATTTTTTAATTTATTAGTACGAGCCATGGGTGGGCGCAAGAACAATCTCAAAAAACGCAAGACGCAAAACACAACGCAAGGCAAAATTTAACGCAAATAACGCAATGCGCCCACCCCTGGTACAAGCAAAGCAAACAACTAGAACTTCTTTCTATACCCCTAAAGGGAAAGGATTTCTTATCTGATGAGAAAATGGGGTCAATGTCAATATATTCTAGCTACAGCAATTCTGTTCATGACTGGATAGCGAAAAACCTAAGAAACATAAAAGAGGTCATGAAGCATAAAAGCACACCCAAAGCAAATCTTGGGTGTGTCTGCCGAAACTGATTTTAAAAAGCGAAAGACTAAACACCAAAAAGTCGAAACTGGTGCCCATCTAGTTATTCTGTTGCATTTTCGAATAAAATACAAGAACTTATTTTTCAACTAAATTTAAATAAACTCACATTCTCTTTTTGTAGCTGAATTGAAAGAGGTGACGGATTCTTGCTGTCATGGTAGAATCTTACAATATCATCATTATAATACTTTTTAACATCATTTACATCATTTTTACATTTTTGTTTGTCATCATCTAAACTTGCTCCATTCTCAGAAATATCAATTATAATCGCTGAATTCATTTAACCTATAAAATGAGAATAAAAGAACATTTAATATACGAGTGAAGATAACAACTATTAATAACTCCTTTGAGCGAGTGTAGTGGGAATTATCTTAAGGGGAATTATTTATCTTGAGCATTTTTAATTTAAAAATGCATAGAATTTGGCATAATGTTTATAAAAATTTTTTAAAACAAACTAAAGAACAAAAAGAGTAGAGAGTTTGCAAATAAAAGAAATTAGAGAAAAAAAGAAGAGAAAAATAATTAAGAAGTGTAGCGACTTTTATGGCACCAACCAAATTGGTACTTGACAAAATGGATCACAGCACAATAAATAACATTGTCACATGTTATCCTTGTCGTTTTGTAAAATTTTGCCCGTTGTATCGTTTTTGTTGAGTATTGTTTTGTCTGTCAGTATTTTTGATTGACTAGAGATGTGTGAAGTAATGGAGAATTTAGAGGAAAAAAGGAAGGAAATATAACTAAAAAAAGTTAAAATTTTCGTGCCCGCACAAAATACCGAATTCTCAAAATCGCGAATCGGCTAAAAAAGCTCAAAATACCGAATCGGGAAAAATATCTCAAAATATGGAATCGGCCAAAAAAGCTCAAAATATGGAATCTTAAAATATCGAATCTCAAAATCTCGAATAGGCTAAAATGCTCAAAATACCGAATCGGCTAAAAAGTAGTTAAAAATCGGTACACCTCAATTGAGTCCGCACGATTGAGTCCCCACGATTGAGTCCGCACGATTGAGTCCCCACGATTGAGTCCCGGCACAATTGAGTCCCCACGATTGAGTCCGCACGATTGAGTCCCCGTTGTATATACCTCAATTGAGTCCCCTAGATTTAATTATATTAAAAAAGATTAAGAGGGATATTTGGGGATTTGGAGGGATTAATGTTAATATCAGGGGACTTGTATGCGACATCGAGGTATCAAGATGGATATTGGTGAATATCAAGGGATATAAGTAGATTTAAGCGGGGATATCGGTTGAATTAAGGCAGATATCAACAAATTCGGAGAGATTAAGATGGATATTGTGGGTTTGGGGATTAGGAGGGATATCGAGAGATTTTTTGAATGACAGCTCATTCGAAAGTAGTGAGTCGAATGACACCAAAATCAACATTGTTGAACAAGTTCTCGCCGAGATATGGGGCTCGAAATGGTGGATTTTTTGGTGGAATTCCATGGGGAATTTTTGTTGCGAAACATTCGAATAAACAAAAAATAGCTCATTCGAAAGGGATCGACGAGATGAGTTGAATAAGACCAAAATCAAGTTGATTGAATGATTCTGAACAAATTTTGACCAACAGAATCTTCGCTGGAAAAACTTTTTGTGCTGCTATGGAGGGTAGGGGAAACTATCTAAATTACGAACGTAAAAACTCCTTCCTAATTTCCGGACTCCGGCAGAATTTACCTGGATACGGGAGAAAATCAAAATGTGAAAAAAAAATAAAAAAATATTTTTTAAAAATTTTATCAAAAAAATTAAAAAAAACCAAAGTCTAGCTTCAATTATTGTGCCAAAGAAGGGCCTTTCTTTCGTTTTTTGTTCTCCTAAGTTCACCACCTTCGTTCCTTCAGAAACTGTGAACTTGAAAATCGCCAGTCAGAAACTGACGAAAATCAACTAAAAAATTTTAAAAATAAAAACGAAAAACAAAATAAAAATTCCAAACCTTTTCAAATTTCCCATCGTTGCAGCCGTGGGATGAAGTCCGTCACGTGATGAGCAAAGTTAGACCAACCTGAAATATAAAATCTAAAATTAAAAAATAAAAATTAAACTTTTACCTACACAAGATTCTCGTCCTCCCTCTCGTCCTCATTGAGAAAATTCAGTGCTCGGATGGACTTGAGTGGATGCTCGGTCAACTAATTAACAAAATTAGTTGCAAACCCCAAAAGAAAAACAAAAAAATAAAAAAAAACAATAAAAAAATCTAGGAAAATAAAAATTCCTACCGGGAATTTTTAACGGGGACTCAATTGAGGTATATACAACGGGGACTCAATCGTGCGGACTCAATCGTGGGGACTCAATTGTGCCGGGACTCAATCGTGGGGACTCAATCGTGCGGACTCAATCGTGGGGACTCAATCGTGCGGACTCAGTTGAACTGCTCCGGTTAAAAATGTCGAATTTTTTAAATCGAAAAGGGCCGTTTGAGTGCCGCCAATTGAGTGCAGGTCTTTTTCAGTTTATTCAGGGGTCTGTATCTCAGTCCAATAAAGTCGGATTTCATTGATTTTGGTATCAGTCGATGCAGCTCGTCGTGCTCTTTCAAATGAGCTATCATTCGGAAAATCGAAATTCGGTTCGGGATTCGAAGCTCGGTTCATGGTCTGGGATTCGACTTTTTCAAAATCCGAGCTCAGATTCGTAATCAGCATATTTTTTACCCTAGAAAAACCCTTTTGCATATTTTTAAATTTTTTTCGAAGTTGTTGATAAAATTGTTCAGACTCAACTGGCTTTTGCCGCATTGTCGATATTTTGAGCTTTTTTGGCCGATTCGATATTTTGGGATTCCATATTTTGAGATTCGATATTTTGAGATTCCATATTTTGAGCTTTTTTAGCCGATTCGCGATTTTGAGATTCCATATTTTAAGAATTCGGTATTTTGTATGGGAGCCAAAATTTTGTTAGAGTAATTTTGTGAGAGTTTTTAATTTTCTAGAATTTCAAAAAAAAATTTTTCAATGAATTCCCTTTTAGATGGAATTTAAAATTGCAGCAATAACCTATAATGTAAATAAACAAAAGCCTTTACAGGATGATATTATTGTAAATATTTTAAATAAATTTTATAAAAAAAATTTTGCTTTTTAAGTGTTGGCTGGACTTTGAAGAATTAAATGATTCTCAAATCGTTTGTTTTGCGTTGCAGGTTTTTTGCTTAAATTTAAAATAAAAAGTTTAAAAATTTAGGAAGTTCCTCATGCAGAAATGTTAAAAACAACTTCAAATACTTGGTGTGAACAATTAACTAATTGGATGAGGGAGAAAAGTTTTTCTTTGGTTAATAAAATTTGTTTGGCTTCGAATATGTTGTTGATTTATTTAAGAGTGGATTTGCTACAAATGGTTAATATTTTTTGTAAAGTTAGGGGTCGTCTAAAGCTTTCATTCTTTCCATCATCAATTCACTTCTTCAACCAGTTTTCTAAATAAAATTGGAATATCTCCTTTTTCGTGATTACCTTATTCTATTCAGGCTCCGTTAAAAGGCTCTATTTCTATGAGGCGTACTAATAAATTGTTATTGTCAAGTGCTTGGGTCATTTAACGTTCCCTGAATGGGACTTTAGACTAACAATAAACAGATCATTTTCTGCAGACTAGATTAATGGGTTCAGGAACTATTTATGTCTTAAGATAGAAAGTAGCTTTAATGAATGGATTCTGTTGAGAATGATGCAAAGATAACCCATGGGGTTCTATTTTAGCAGTTAAAGCGAATTACTTTACTTTGGTTAAGTTGGTTAATTCGTTGTTTTGTGTTGATATTGAGCAGGTTCGAATCCTTTTAGCTCCAATTTATTTGATAATCTTTTAGTTTCCATTCTTTAAAAGAATTTTTTCAGCTTGACCTTATCGATGAGCGTTGGTGTAGAAGCAGTTTATTTGGCACAATTGGATATAAAGGCACAATATCTTCTCGGTTATTATTTCGCTCTGGTATTTCAATTGTTTTTATTGCTAGTCATTTCTTTGCTCAAGAAAAATTTTTGCGTGATAGAATTAATCAATATAAGCAATCTCTAAATTGTACATTTCCTGAAATTGACTGTCCCAAAAAGTATATTTTTTAATTTTAATGAAACTTTTGGTCTGTAAATTAAATCCCCTCTAGATTTTCCAGCAAAAAATGGTGTAAAAAAGTTTGGAGATTTTTTTAACTTTAGTTTTTAAATTTTATACATTGTTTTGAAGATTGTCCTTCTGTTTTAAATAAACCATCCTCCTCGATTTTCTAGTGATTTAAAGTGATTAGGACTCGTTTAAACTTGTCCAGTCATTTTGCTATTTCGTATTAGTAAGTTAAGAGTGCTTTTATCAAATGGACTAAGAAATGACAAATTTGTGTTTTGACATTAGTCCATGGGAGTAATTTCTTTGTTTTTACAAAATAAGAATATTTTTTCTTTAAAAAATTTTTTAAAGGCACATTATTTGGTTAGGCGATTTCAATTTCCGTGTTGAAGATTTTTCTGATTCTCAACAATTATTATATGCTTTAAACAAATTAGATGATGTTGATATGCTTACAAATATTGCAAATTCCCATGATCAACTAATAAAAGCAAAAA